TAACTATTACATAACTAAATAATTATATCTATCGAATCTTTATCTACTATCCTCTATTCACTTTTCGCTATTCCTCATTTACTATTCATTAATTGCCACATACTACCCTCTACCATTATTTGCTATTTATTACTCATTATCCGTTAAATTTTAACCGCTTACTAAATCCAAATAATGTATTTTAAAATAAATATATTTTAAATATATATATTTCAAATTGGCAGAATACCCAAATCCACCCCCAAAGTATAATGGCAGGGACGGATCCACTCTCAAACAAAAAACAGGGACAAATCCACCCACAAAGTTTTCCACTTGGACAAATCACCCCAAATTTAACGTGTGACGTCATTTGACATCAGCAATCTGTTAATTTGACGTCATCTGACGTCAGCAATCCGTTAACAAATTAACGAATTGCTGATGTCAAATGACGTCACACGTTAAATTTGGGGTGATTTGTCAAAGTCGAAAACTTTGTGAGTGGATTTGTTCCTGTTTTTTGTTCGATGGTGGATCCGTCCCTGCCACTATACTTTGGGGGTGGATTTAGGTATTTTGCCTTTCAAATTTACATTTTAAACACAAATACATATTTCTAAATACAACATTTATGAATTTTAATAGTTAAAAATATATTATATTCTATGAAATTTTCTAATAATATATATAAATTTTTAATTTTTAATTCACTTATCATTAATATTGTACAAATTATATTTGTTTGTCACTAGCTTTTATTTAATTTCTAATGTATATTATTAAAATTTATTGTATAAAATCTAATTACCATCATTTTAATTATCTTTTTCGTATTAATTTTAATGGTAATCAGCTATTAAATTCCAATAAATAAAAATAAAAAAATTTATATTAAATTCATTAAGTCACATTGTAATTCTAGTAAACTAAATTAGTTTATAATAAAACTATTAAAACTTGAAATCATAAATTTAAACACAAGAATATCAACTAATAAATAAAAATAATTAAAAAACAAAACAAAACTCAATTTATAAAAATAAAAATCCTTATTCATTATTAATAAATTTCTTATTACCTCACTTTATGTTAATATCTGAAAATTTCGAAAAAAAGTTAACAAAAAGCCTCTCAAAACTCCCCAATTATGATCTTAAACTTATATTTATAAAAATTTCCATTTTAAGGAACCGACGAGTATTTATAGAGCTTGAAGAAACTGTAATTGTAAAAGAAGTGACACCGGCACTAAAGAAAATAGAATTTCACTCGTACAAGAGCACAAAGCAGGCAAAGGATCGGCACATAAGATTAACGTGTCGACACATATAAATAATTTATGGAACTATGGAAGTAACTCCGTGTCGGGATTTTAGCCTTTAAAGCAATTTTGGTTCTTCACTGGTAAAACTGTTTTGGTCCCTCATGCTTCATTGATTGACATTTTGATACTCATAGTTCTTATTTCTTCGATTTGGTCTTGAAAATTATAATTCCTTCCAATTAAGTTCTTTTCTATATAAAGAGTAAAAATTATATAAATTTAAGTAAAATTTTATAAAACTCATCCAATTATCAATAGTATCAAAACAAATTTTCCACATTAATATAAATATTTATAAAATTATAATCTATTAATTAGTGAAGTAGACACCTTAATTAGAGATTTTGAAATAACTTAATCAAAAGTCTATCACAGGAATGAAACCAGAAATTTAAGTTAAGGGGGCAAATTTTTAAATTTTTTTTCTTTGAGTCATTTAGGTTTCATTTCATTATATTTTGTATAAATCTTTTTTACGATAGTTTTTTTATTATAATTAATTAATATTTTATACTTGGTCAAAAAATTCATATTTTATATACTTTTATTGATTTTGATTAATATTTTTTTTTTTAAAGATATTAAAAGATAAAAAAACTTATACCTACAATAAAACAATATTAATGATAAATAAGGATTTAATAGTTTATATTAATATAATTTATATTGGTTTTTAAATTGATTATTATTTTTATAAATATATCACTTATATCATTCACAACAAATTTTTTTATTAATTAGATATATTTAATTATTTTTGAATAATATAAAATTTAAGATTGTTAAATAAATAATATAAAAATATAGTTTTTTTTGTAAAGTTATATATATCAAATGAACTTTGATTTAATAGAATATAAATCATACAAAAAAATTTATATATAACTAATTTAAAAACTTATATAAATTTATTTCAAAATAACTCGATCTTAATTATTTTTTATATTTATTCTTATAAAAAAAATTATCATTTCTCTATAAAAATTAGTCACAAAGAGAAAAATGATCCCTTTACCTACATCCTTAATAGTTTTTTATATTTGAATGGTCCCTATTATTCAAATTAACTTCAAACACAGAATTAGGAGAAAATAAAAATTCATGTACCATGTTTAATGCTTTTCAAAAGCTTAGGGGGGACGGCTGCCCCCCTTTGTCCCACACTAGCTCCGTCCCTGGTCTATCCAATTGGAAGGTTCCTAGCTATTGTTCTTAGGGCTGGCTGTTAAAGTCTTTCTGGTTCTTGATCAAACATTAGTACCATGGGAAAGGGTTCTTGTATCAACAAGAAAACAAGCCATTCTAATTCAAAGTAACAAAAGTATTTGATGAGTTAATGTAATCATTTATGTTGTGTAGCACAAATGATTAAACTTTAAGACTTCTTTTATGAGCTTCAATGGCCATTAAAATGATTTACAAAATACTATCAAAAATATAAACAACAATAAGAATTCATAAGTCCCTTTCAAAGAAAATATGACATATTTTCTGAATGAAGTGTTGTACAGGATTGTTTTCACTAGTATATAAGAAAATGTTGTGAAAAACAATTTTCACAAAGAAAAAAGAGCAAGTGATTAGATGAAAAATGAGCACTCACTCACCTCAAACAATTAATAAAAACAAAGAAAAGCGCATAATTTTTAAGTAATAAGAAGAGTTTTTAACTAATAAGAGATTATAAAAGGATTCATTACTTAAGCAACATATACATACAAGTTGTTGGGTTAAAGTGACCCAGTCATATTTAGTCAATTTGCAATACTATTTGTTAAGTCCACACTAAATAACAATAGCGCTACTGAATGTGAATGAGATACAAGGAGAACTTTATACTACCTTAACTAACAAATATTCACCTAATGATATGACAATGTAAGAAACGAAAGACTAAGCAATAGAAGTCTCTACTAAAAATGAATGCTTGCTCACTGACAATGATACCCTCACCCACATTGTAATAACTCAATAAGTACTAAACTAAAATGATTATGATATAATCACAAAACCAGTCATTGAGTATTGACAAACGCAAACTATGCAGTTAGATTAGGGAAATTATTTTAGCTTCGCCAGTACACTAAATTTGCCACAACTTGATGTCTTCATCCAATGCAATGCATGCATGCAAAATTTTCCAAGAATAAAATGATTAAAGTAGTAGATGTAGAAAATATGATAAATCTAAATAAATAAATAAAAACATTTGAAAATTTAGATCCTAATTGAATATTTTTAATCTTCAATTTACAAAGAATTCATTCGGCAAGCATAATACAGGAGATAAATTTGTTATGAGACCGAGATTAAATAGAATGGACAGGTTGCATATTTTCATCTTTGATTAAAACTTGCATTTTCACCAAAACCATAGTCCTTGCAATCAAAAGAGAAATAAAAAGGGTTTCAACTTAAATTAAACGGAGTAAAAATAAAAGTTGGGGCAGAACATTAGACTTTTATTGAGCCTAATGTAAGTGAAAAAATATTAAACAATAATATTAATAAATGGCACTTTTTATATTTTGACTCAAAATATTTATAAGTATAGATAATTAAATAAAAAATTATAACAAAAAGATATAATGATAATTACATATGCAAATAATGATTAAAATAAAATAACATAGATAACTTTTTATATAATGATAGCACACTATTGCAAAGGATTTCGGATTAAATTAAATGGAATACAAATAAGACTAGGAGCAGAACATTAGGTTTTTATTGGGCCGGACATGGGTTATGATTTGAGGCCTACAAGTAATAGGGTCAAGTTTAACAATGTCAATTACCATGTTCCT